GCTGGGCAGTCTATGGGCTCGCAGCGGCAGACATGCGTTTCCCATGGCACCCTTGAGGCAGAGATTGCGGCTGCTGACCTTGCCTGCGAAAAAAAAGCTGCTTGCAGCCATTCCGCTTTGGGAAATATTGCTTGGAAGAGAAATACGTTGTTTGTTTTTAGAGGACAAACAGGCGGCATGTAAGGTCATCAAAGCTGGAGGGCCCATGGAGCTCATGCATCTACCGCGAACCCATCGCATTGCTGCTGCAGCTGTGTCAGAACAATTTTTCTCGAGGTATCGTTGAACTTCAGTGCGAAAGGACTCCAAGCGAAGTCGCCGACATTGGAGCGAAGATGTTCACTGACCCTTTGGCCTGAGTTAATGTATTCTACCTCGTCAACGTTGTGACTCCCAAATTTTGGACCGCTAAGCGGTGCCAAAACTATTTAGATTCGACGTTTTCAGACGGTCTTCCCCTGAAACCAGGGGGGATTCTGAAGCCCCGCTTAGGTCCGAGTTCGGCTTTGCGGAGAGGAGCTGCTGCGCCGAGCAAAAAGGTGAACAAGAAAATGAAGCGCCCCAACAAGGGTAAGCCCGCTGTGCATTTTTCAAAACCAATAAACACCCCAGCGGCACCTGGCGGCGCTCAGCGCCCGGCTGGTGACGAGGCTGCCCCCGGCCAAGCCGTGGTGGCGAACGCCCCCGCCCAAGCTGCGGTGGCGAGTGCGCCTGGCCAAGCCGTGGAAGCACGTGCAACCACTCCTGTTTCGACCGAAGAAGGTTCCAGGACAAGCTCCGAGAAATCCAGACCGATGGAAGAGACAACCAAGAAAAGCTCCAGGGTTGAGATGAGAGCGATGTTTGATATAACCGACAGCGGAACTGAATCTGATACATCGAATTTGGTGAAAGAGATGTGAAGAACGGTCGAGCGTTGAGTCAGTTGACATCGACCAAGATATGTTCGGATACAACCTTCTTCTCCCTCACCTTCCGCCTGCGGCTGTTGCTAACTTCCAGGATAGGAGGGACCAATGGACACAACACGGACAGAGTCTTAAACGATGGCACTTTGTTCCCAGACTTGACACATTTATACCAGCAAATACCGATTGCCCGGTTGACCCGAATAGATTAGATGATAGGCGTCGTACTTATGACATCAAATTTCAACCTGGTTTGACTGTAGACCGTACGGATAGTTGGCGCGACGGAGATAATAAATATCATCACCCCTTTATGCATAATTCAAATGGCGACTCCAGCGATGGTGACTTTCACCCATGTAGATGGACCGGCTGGGCGGAATTCTGAATCCGGGAAGATTGTGTCCCGGCCACCTAGTTGACCGGGGACCGATTCTTGTTAGAATATTGTTGTGGCCCTCAGAGCAGGATCGGAAATCCCAAGAATTTCGTCGACGATTCATGTAAGGTAATTCGGTATACGGAGAAGGAAGATATGAGAACGTATGAGGGTCGAAGATTGGCTCTGAATGACATAAAGACATTCAAAGGAAAATACATCACGCTATGGGGCTCAATGCCCTGCACAGGAGGTTCCCCCTGGCAATGCGCGAACGAAGCCCATTATTTTGACATTGGGGACCATAGAGCGATGCGTAGGCTTCGAGGCATTAGAACAGACTTCAGGTATCTGTTCTTAAATTTCCGCGAGATTGCCCGCGCCGCGCACAAAGCGGGGGGTGCGCTTTGCATTGAGTGGCCAACTCAATGTAATTATTGGAGGGATCCCCAGGTGAAAGAGTTCATGAGAGAGTTGGAGTTTGTCAAAACGGCTTTGCATGGATGTGCGCACGGATTGAGGGACAGCAAGGGTAATTTCATGAAAAAGCCCAGGACAATTGCATCCACGTCTCCAGGCGCGACGGCGGGACTTGAGCGCAGATGCGATGGCACGCGCGAGCATGTCGAGGCCAGAGGGGAGCGCAAGTGGACAACGAATAATCAGTATAGACGTTTGGCTGCTTCGGGTCAAACCTTTGGAAACAGCCGCACATGTAGTGTTCCTGCCTGGGTCCCTGATCACGCCGCGGCCCAGCCGCCGGCGCGTCGCGGTCTTTTCTTTCAGTACTTCGAGCTTCTGAAGAGGCGATTCATCAAATGGCTCGCACACTTGGCTCAGAGAGAGGCGACTCAAGCCCCAACGATCGCAGAGTGGTGGCCCTTTCTTTGGGCAACAGAAATTGACCAGTATGCGCGTCCCATGTATTGCCTTGCTCTGGCTGCCTTTGACTGGCCAGAGGACCCTGACACACGCTTTGAACCAATAGAAAGTTGGTTCGAATGGGAGCGCAACGTGGCTAAAGCGAACATCTTCGCGCCAACGCTTCGGACATTGCGCAGCGCAAAAGATGGAACAGCACCCTGGCTGCCCGTTGATAGGGCAACGCCATGGACGTCGCGGGGCCCAGCCTACGTGGACGTCCACCGGTTGCTTGGCCAAATAACTTTGTGGCACGTCCTCGTCGTGCTTCCCAGTCCGTCAGCAGGCGTAACAGAATGTGTTCCGAGCACCCTCTCGTTTCAGTGTGCACGCATGACAAACCTGCCGCCGGTCCAACCGCGACGGCAGGCGAGGAGAACATACACATGACCCTTGATTTCACTGCAATCTGCGGGCCCCACACCGAGCAGATAATTGGCGGGAAAATCAATCTTGATCAGCCCAATGGGCACGTGCATTCCCGTCGCGACGACAATTCTTTGAAGAATACGTTGGCCGAGGACGGAGCCAAAGAAGTGGCCGCTCAATATGTCATGGAATGCACTCGCTATCGCCTGGAGGCAAATGACCCTGAAAAGGTTACGACTACCGGGCGAAGTAACGCATGAAGTCCCAGAAAATGTGCGCAGCACCATTGATTGGAACTGGAAGGTCCCTGCTCAAGTACTGGAGTTGGGCCTTCGCATTATTCGTGTGATTGCGATTGTTCGCGAGATCATTAGTTGTTTCGTCGCAGAGGGACATTGCATTGCATACCCTGGGGCTCATTTTTCTGCCCGAGGCACCGGCGTAGATTATAATGATGACAAGCGTCGAAAGGATGCATGCGCTCTTGATTGCCGCATTCGTGTGGCGATTGAGACAGACGATCTCATTGAGGAATGGGCCCGTAATTTGGGTAAACAGGCTCGTACCGATATCCGTTGTCAGGGCATGCAGTTACAAGAAGCTATTCATTGGCTATGCCCACATGTGGAAGCCACTGAGCTTCAAGACAAAGATAAGGCCACTTTCGTGGTGCCTGCGGCAAGTTTGGTATTCTTGTTGCCACCGCCGCAAGGGATATTACTAGATTCGCCAGAAAGCGAGTGATGACCATTCGTGAGAGAGGAGGCGCTGAGGGGCCCCCCGACGGCCAAGCCGATTCGGAGGGGCCCGCTTTGGCGAAAGCGAGGCCCAGACCGCCACCTCCTCCACGCAGACCCGAAGTCCAAGACGATCGGGCTAACGATGAAGCCACGGAATCCCCGTACTCTGCCGGCGGTCAAACCGCTGCGGCAGGAGATGAGTATTCATGGTATTCGTCTGACAGGGACACGGGATTGGTCGAGGCTTGCGCGCGCGCGCGGCGGAGCCATGGATGTCGGCCGCGGGGCTGCCGGCTGCGACCCCTCGAAGCACCGCCCGCTCTACACCAATGATGCGCTGGGTGGATGCTGGGTTCGCCGGGACGTGATATCCTGGATGACCCCGAGGGACAACCAGTCACGCGTGTGGCATGCGGTGTACACGAATGACTACAACTACTACTTTCCGAGGAAAGGAAAGGACTCCAAGAACAAGGACAAGCGCAACAGGCCAGCGCCTTACGCTGGCCGTGGCAAGGGGCCCAGATCCCGCTCGCCCCATTGGGCCGCGGGTCAGACGGGAGGCTCGTCATCTTCACATCCGAAACCTCCGTCTCCGCCATCGCTGGGATATCCTGAGAACAAGATCTGAGAGAAGGCCGAGCCCGCGCGATCAAGTCGCTGCGGGCTCAACCGATCGACAAAGTCGTATCGGCAGAGAGAATGTATTAAACTATTGGTGGAAATCGTCGGGTTTCTTCGGCCCTCAGCTGCCTGGCAGCCACCGTTGAGCGGTAAAAGTTTTTGCGGTTCCCACCGGTGGTTGTATATATGTACAGGCCAGGCGAGCTGTGGCTGGATGGGCCCTACGAAGCCCGCCGCGGGGGGAGTGAATATGCTCCTCTCCGCCTCATCTTACACTTGCCTTTCTCGCTGCCTTCCTTGCCGCACCCTGACACTGCGGCTTTGCACCGCAGCTATTTGTGCCTACAGGGTAGAAAAGGAGCGCGCCTGCCCTCGGCCGCCGCGTGTCGTCGGTCGTCGGCCGGCCGGCCTCCTCCCTTCCCACTCTTGAGTACAATTGCTTAACGGTTACTTGTAGTTTCATCGATGTTTCATCCCGTATTCTCTACTACTGAGCAGAGTCAACATGAGACCTTAATTCCTTTGTCATCTTACCCCGATTCTCAGAGGAAATACTCATCTGCCAAGGCCAGCCGATTACAACATACATCTTTCACACGCAGCGTACATCAACACATACATCACGTACACGCAGTAATAACATGGCAATGTTTGACAACAGTAATAGCATGCACCTGCAACACAGCCAGTGCCGTAAAGTACGGCCATATGTTCATCACATACATCAGGAAACCACACCAATGGCGTAAGTTCGTGAAGCACAGTACTGCAGCAGCATACATCAATCACAGACAACACATAATAAACGCACACACAATATATAAGCCAATATCGTCATCGCGCGCATGCAAGGTTCATAACGCACATATCTAGTGCGCACGAGTAGCACACGAAACGCAACTCGCGCATACCAAGCGTGCAGAACATGAACACCGACCAACCATACATAAGCAGTGATGTGAGATAGTACTTGTAGAATCACACAACAGACCCCATGACCGTTCGCAGCAGCTCCCCCTGGAGATCGCTCAGGGCAAGGGTTTCTTGTTGTTTCCGCAGGACCAGGGCATGAGCGTCGCTGTCATGCATTTCCGGATGAAGGCCTTCATCGTGGTTACGATCGTTGCCAAAGTGGTTTGGTCCTTTGTATTGTCTTTCGTCGTGTTCGCCTAGCCCGGCTGGTTTTGAGAGGTCAGGGCTTGATGTTCATCTCCGAACCATGTGGTGTGCAAGCAGGAAAGTGCACGCTGATGTTTGGAAGTGTTGGGGATGGCCGAACGAGGCACACCCTGCCTCCCTCTCCTCCATCCTGCCTCTCTTCCTTCACCCCCTCGCATCCTCCCCCCTGAGTCTACTCCCCCTCCCTTCGCTTCCCTCGTCATCCCGTGCTGAATTGCTGCTGCTGCTGAACCTTCGGACGCCGTTGGTGCAAAGTCTACCAGTGGTCGATATCCGAGGCACATGCCCGTGAACGTCTCCGTGCCGATTCTCCGTCGCAGCGGTACTGAAGATGTGCCGCTGGTGCCGTTTTTGAAGGGGGATGGAGCGCCAAGGCGCACCTTCCGACAGGCCTCGTGAGTTCCAGCGTGCTCAGCAGGTTGGTGTTTCGCCTCATCGGAGACAAACATGTGCGCGTGCGCGCGTTTGTTGTCAGCGTCGCTCTCTCCACCGCTTCCTCTGGCATTCCTCGTTTCTTCTGCACGTTCTCCGCCAGCTGGCGTGGCAGCGCGTGCATTTTTCCCCAAACAGCTTGCTGAACGGGGTGCTGTTGTGATAGAAGCTAACTCTGGCCGAGGGAAGTCGGAGCAGAGACATCCTCACAAAAATTTGATGGTCCTGGCCGTTTCGCTTGAGACATCCTCACAACTCTCGTTTCTGAGTTGGCCGGGATTGGCCGTTTCGCCTGAGACATCCTCGAAAAGTTGCGCTCCGGGACGCCGCGCGAGAGGTGGTCCGGGCCGTTTCGCTTGAGACATCCTCGAAACTCTGAGCCCCGAGGTGCCGTGCGAGAGGTGGTCTGGGCCGTTTCGCTTAAGACATCCTCGAAACTCTGAGCTCTGAGATGCCCTGCGCGAGGTGGTCCGGCCCGTTTCGCATGAGACATCCTCGAAACTCTGACCTCGGAGATGCCGCGCGAGAGGTGGTCCAGCCCGTTTCGCCTGAGACATCCTCGAACTTCTGAGCTTTGAGATGCACTGCGCGAGGTGGTCCGGCCCGTCTCGCCTGAGACATCCTCGCAACTCTGAGCTCTGAGATGCCGTGCGCAAGGTGGTCCGGCCTGTTTCGCACAAGACATTCCCGCAACTCTGAGCTCCCAGATGCCGCGCAAGAGGTGGTCCAGCCTGGGGGCCTAGAAGACCACATGTTACATATCCTCCCTGGGACCCTGGGAGCCCGCCTGAGACATCCTCAAACTTCTGAGCTCTGAGATGCCCTGCGCGAGGTGGTCCGGCCCGTCTCGCCTGAGACATCCTCGCAACTCTGAGCTCTGAGATGCCCTGCGCAAGGTGGTCTGGCTTGTTTCGCACAAGACATTCTCGCAACTCTGAGCTCCCAGATGCTGCGCAAGAGGTGGTCCAGCCTGGGGGCCCAGAAGACCACATGTTACATATCCTCCCCCCTGGGAGCCCCAGGAGGCCCCAGAGAGCTTCAGGAGGCCGCAGGACGCCCAGGACATGCCCCAGGGGTCCCCTGGAGATTCCCAGGAGGCTTCCAGGAGGCCCCAGGAGGCCCCCTATCAGAACGTGTCCAGTTAATACACGTCCGGTGTCGATTCGTTGATTTTTCCTGCTCTTCTGGCCCCCTCCCCATTTTGGGGGGCCCCGACGGCCACATGTTAGATATCCCCCCCTGGGAGCCCCAAGAAGCTTCAGGAAGCCCCAGGTGGGGTCCAGCAGGCCACAGGAGGCCCAGGAGGAAGCCCCAGGAGGTCACCAGGAGGTCCCAGGAGGCCCCAGGACGCCCCCGCAACTCGGAGCTCTGAGACGCCGCGCTCGAGGTGGTCCGGCCCGTTTCGCCTGAGACTTCCTCGCAGCACGTTTCGCCCGAGACACCGGCCCGTCTCGCCTGAGACATCCTTGCAACTCTGAGCTCTGAGATGCCATGCGCAAATTGGTCTGGCCCGTTTCGCACAAGACATTCTCGCAACTCTGAGCTCCCAGATGCCGCGCAAGAGGTGGTCCAGCCTGGGGGCCCAGAAGACCACATGTTACATATCCTCCCTGGGACCCTCGGAGCCCCAGGAGGCCCCAGAGAGCTTCAGGAAGCCGCAGGACGCCCAGGACATGCCCCAGGGGTCCGCAGGAGATTCCCAGGAGGCTCCCAGGAGGCCCCAGGAGGCCCCCCATCAGAACGTGTCAAGTTATTACAAATCCGGTGTCGATTCGTTGATTTTTCCTGCTCTTCTGGCCCCCCCTCCCCCATATTGGATATTGGGGGGCCCCGACGGCCACATGTTAGATATCCCCCCCTGGGAGCCCCAAGAGGCTTCAGGAAGCCCCAGGTGGGGTCCAGGAGGCCACAGGAG